TGGAGAATGTACCTTCTTTGGATTGCAAGAGAAACAGCCCAAGTGTTTTTGGTGAGAGTACTGGGGTTTAGGGTTCAGCAAAGCATAGTCACTTGGAGACAGTTTTACCTGTTACATTGTTTTTATTTGTGGATTTAAAGTAAGGGGAATGCAAAAGAGGGGAGGGAACTGGGAAGGTGGGGGAATTAATACAAGAAATAGATATGGAAGTGTACAAACCCAAACCAAGCCCTATTCAGGCACACAGTTTTGAATGCAACATAATAAGAGACAATGACAACACAAGGGGTCATGCCGTCAAACAGCTAAAAAATCACAATAATTTCAATTGTTTAAATAAATTGAATAGTTACTCTCAATGGTTCTTTCTTTTAAAGTGACATGTTTGCATGTCAGAGGGCTGCATCATGTAATTGAAAGGGAAAAAGCCCTGGTAGAACTTTAAAACCCCCGCTCAGATTATTTTAATTCAATATACTCATTTTCAGGAGGGACAGATTATGAGCATGAAAGATGTAATTGGTTTCAAGAGACATGTTTTGTTTCAGCTAAAGAAAAGAGGAATGGGCATAACATTTGATAATCACTTACCTTTTCAAGTTAAAGTTCAATGTAAGGAGAAGGAGGGAAGTTATAGATTGTTGAAGGACACAGTTGCTGGGTAATTAATAATGATGGGCTCAGTGTATGCTCTCAACCAAAAGGACTTCTGTAAAATACTGCAACACTTCGGGGAAGGGGAAATTGTACTTGGAGGAGACTTCAATTGCACATCTATTCCTGACTGGGACAAATCTGATTTAAAAGACCAGGGGGATAGGGAAGCGGGAGCAGCATTGACTTCTCTGTGCCAACAGCTCAATTTGTCACCTTGATGGAGAGAATTGAACCCAGTGGAAAAAGATTACACATTTTATTCACACCCTCATCAGTTATATACTAGAATAGATGTAATATTATTCTGTAAATCCTTAATGAAGCAGACACGATCTGTAGAAATTGGCAACAGATCATGCAACAGTAAAGTGATACTTGATAGCTGGGATGGGTCCCAGTGATCACTTTTTTGAGGGGTGGGGTGGGGAAGTGAGCTGCCTTTTTCTCCAGGAAAAAGATTGGGTTGCAGAAATTAAAAAGGACATTGTTCAGTTCTTTCAGACAAATGATATTGACAACATAAAGAGAGGCTTTCTCTAGGAGGCAGGTAAAGCACTATTTAGGGGTCAGTTGATAAGCAGAGCCTCTCACCTGAAAAAAGAAAGAGCTCAAGAAAAAATAGAATTACAGCAGAAGATAAAAAGGTTGCAAGACATGCATAAAAACACAGGTTCAAAAACATCTATAACAATTAACTAAATATATGGGAAAATTGAATATGTTGGTGACAGATGCCACTGAAAAAGCCCTTAGTATACAAAGCAGAAGGTTTCTGAAAAAGGAAATAAAAGTGATAGCTTAAAGGGATTCAAGAGCAATGTATTATTCCACCAGTTAGAACAATCAGCAAAAAGATAGTTACGCACCCTAATGAAATGTGCTAATTTTGCTGCTGCTTATAAAAATCTCTCTAACTCAGATACTCCAAGTTCTGAAGTTATTTCCAGATTTTGTTTTAATTAACAGACTTTCCAAAGATAAGCAAAATTTTTAAGACTCTTTAGATAAAGAAATAACAGAAGAAGAAATCCTAGTGGCAATAGCAAGTATGGAAAGTGGTAAAACTCCAGGACCTGCTGGCTTTCCAGCTGAATTTTACAAGGTATTTAAGGAGGTATTAGTGGGTTGCTTGAGAGCTACCTTCAACACTATTCTGTTAGGGGAGGAACTTCTGCAACCTATGAAAAAAAGCTATTGTGGTTATTCTCCCTAAAGATGGAAAAGATCTCACCATATGCATTTCCTATAGGCCCATATCACTGTTAAATCATGGCATAAAGATTCTAGCAAAAATACGAGCTAGCTGATTGCAGTCTATGCTCTGTTTATATAAACCCAGATCAAACTGAATTCATTAAGGATAGACAAATCTCAGACAGTATTAAGAGAGGACTTGGAATCATCCGCAATACCAAATAAAAAAAATCTGTTTCTTTTATTGTCACTAGACGCAGAGAAAGGAGAGAGAATAGTGGACCTTTCTGTTTCAAGCCCTGCCCTATGTGGACTTTGTCCCCCAGTTCCCTAAATGGATAACTGCTCTTTACATGAGCTGAGAAGCAGCCATTTGCGTTCATGGTGTTTGTTTGAATTACACAGAGGGACTAGGCAGGGATGTCCATTGTCTCCTTCATTTATCGCACTGGACATGGAACCTTTAATACAGAGGATAAGGAACAATGAATCCATCACAGGAATAAAACTTGCAGGGTCACATCAGAAAATAGTGTCATATGCAGATGATGTAATATTATTTTTATCTAAACCTATATTTCTCTCAAATTTGTTTCTGACGAAATCTAGAACTTTGAGAAAGTGTCTGGATTTAAAGTAAATTATGCCAAATACTGAAATCCCAGAATCTGAAAAGTCTGTCCTCCAGAAAACATTTGGGTACAAACGGGCAACAAATTCTATAAGATACCTGGGAATTCAAATCTCAAACAACATAGGAGAGCTTCATGATTTAGTGTCAAACCACTACTTCAGGAAATGAACAAAGATCTGGGGTGCTGAGGGAAGTATTTAATTTCTTGGTGGGGAAGTATAGCCGCAGCCAAAATGAGCATTCTGCCAAGGATATCTTTCTTGTTTCCAGATTTTTCTGGGATTATCTCAGATAAAACCCTATGAGGAATATAGAGGATGTCAACATTTTTATGGAATAAGGAAAGCCCAAGAGTGTCCTCGGGAGCCAAAAAATCTTAGTGTTATAGGTGAAACTGCGTTATATTGAACTTGCTTTGATCCACCGGAGTGCACAGCCCTCGTGTTATATCCGAATTCGTGTTATATCGGGTCGCGTTATATCGGGGTAGAGGTATACTTAGCCAGCCAGCTCAAAGTAGTAGTGAATTTGGGGTGCTCTAACCCAGCCAAACATGGGGTATTTATTAAACAAAATAATTGTGGCAGTAAGAATGTTGCTAAACTACCGTGGATTAATTAAAAAAAAATCTCATCTTCCAGAAATTTACGCACATCCTTTAGCAAAGGCTACTCTGTGTTTAGGATATAATGACACATAAAATAAGTTCCTTTCCCTTGCCAGTCACACCCATTACAAATAATCCAGATCTTAACCCAAATTGTGAACAAGAGAGCTTCGAAGATTGGGAGAGCCATGGAATACACAATGGTGGGCCAGCTATTCAGTAAAAAAAAAAAAAAAAAAAAAAACCCAGAACATTTCTAACTTATTTAGAGATCAAAATTAACTTTAACTGGCCCACTCCCCCCTTGTACCAGTACTTTCAAGTGAGGCATTATATTTCTCAACTTTCTAAGAAACCTGTTACACAGAAAGCTAATTTTAATAGAAGAGATGGCATCTGATCAATTAGGAAACAAAAATTATAACTAATTTATATCGATCTTTGCAGACAGCTTTTCTAACAAAAAAGTGTCTATGTGTAACACTCTGGGAAAAGGAGGTGGATAGACAAATTACTCTAGAAGAATCTGGTTTGATCTAGAAAAAAGGACCAGCAGCCTCAATCTGTAGCACAATAAAATAAAATTTCTTTAAGATACTGTTTCAAAGCTACCTCTCACCATTCAGGGTGTGTGTGTGTGTGTGTGTGTGTACACAGAGAGAGAGAGAGAGAGAGATAGTGGTGAAAGAGGAGATTTTATGCATGTATGGTGGACATGTCCAGTCGTTAGAGAGTATTGGGATGCAGTCCGTAACCTAATATCACAAATTTGTATTACCAAATGATCCCTTGGTAATCCTTCTAGGGCAGAAATGGTCACACGGGGGGAAAAGAAGAATTGATCTCTTATCTCCTAGTAGCTGCTTGGTTGTTGGTAGTCTCTCACTGGAAAAAGAAAAATAGCCCAACCATCAAGGAATTATTTTTTTTTTAAAGGGAGATTATGGTAAAATTAACACATCAATTATGTACCCAGTAAAATAGAAAGAGGGCAGGTAGATACTTAGATATTTGGTTACCTTTTATTCAATGCTCAAAGTACGTTCACCTGTAAAAAAACAAAAATAAAAAACCCAGCATATTTTTTTTAAAATATTAACATTTGATAGTGCTGGTCTGTTACATATGTGTATATAGAGATTTAACTTACATAATTTAATAAAATCACTAGAAGCAACATATTATAGGCCTTGTAATGATGCTCACTCTGTAATATGGTAACATATTAAATAGAAAGATCTGATGACTATATTCCTTTATAATGTCTCTAAACAAAAGCTAACTGTTGTAGTGATTGTTTTGTTCCTGATATTTATATGGCAAGGATTTGTAAACTTGTTAAAAAATTTAAAAAATGAAACATTAAAAGAAAAGCAATGTATCCTGCATCATTAAAATTTCAGCCTAACTGTCTATCTTGTGCTGCTTGTTTTTAGCTTTTGTCTCAAATTTGGGACTCAATAGATAGAGCTTATGACACTTGCACCTGATCTAGAATGGAGTGGTGACCTGAAGGGCTCCAGCTAGGACATAAATTCATAACCTGCTCTTGGCAAATCACCTGGGATCCCTAACAGTGATATCAGTTTAAACCTCCCTCGCTTCTGGGAGTCGAGCATGCTCCCTTTGTAGCATTCCTAGTTTCTGCCAGCCAGAGACACTCTTGTCTTCTGGACCTCGTCTCTCAGTTCTCCTGCTGTGATGGAGCATTTAGCTGTGTGTTCACCAATGTGTTTCTTGCCTGCAATCTTCTTTGCTTTTTATTCCAGCAGGCCAGTCGAAAGTTCATGGGAGGGTGAGAAAATTGTAGATGATTCCAAGGCATTCGGGGATGTAGTGCTTTGCCAGCAGGAAAAAGCCAAGAAATATGATGGTGAAGCACTAAACAGACTGTTTTCTGCTCTCCAGGATGAGATGACCTCAAGTTTGGGCCTGACCACAAAGAAGGCCCTCACTATCCTGAGAGACCAGCTGTCAGCACTGCTGGAGGGGCATCAGAAGGAAAGGAAGAAGGTGATTTCATGGAAGGTGAGGCCAAAAAAAAAAAGCCCACAGTAGGTTCTGACCTTCCCTATCGGTCTCTCAAAACCCTAAAGTTTGGAATTAGACCAGTTACCCGTATGGATCGCACAAAGGACCTATGGTGCATCCCCAAGCTTTCCGAACCCTTGCTAAGCTAAAACTCTGAGTTAATTGAAGGTCAGTTACGTTAGGGTCTGCTTTTGTGGAGCTTCTAAGTTCCTTGGGGCTAATGCTAGGAGCTATTCAAGGTTATAGCTCCTTTTCAGCTGTGCAGTTCTGGAATTTAGGAGCTTGACTTCAACTCAGAGATTCCTCGGAGCAGCAAAAGCTGAAACTCCTACCTAGTCAGCCTCCCGCCCCTTCCAGCATTAGGAAGGTGAATGTGTGCTGCCTTTTCCTTCTCCCTGTACCCCGAAGAGCTTTGTAAATTTGGGGTTTACCTGTATTTGAAATATGATCTCTGTAGAGAGAGGCTCCAAAGTTGTCTCTCTCAGTGCACATAGGGAGTTGTTTAGAGCAGATGGGGCTATGAGGTTTAACATACTCTCCTGAGGCTTCAGCTACTGTTGGGAGGTCCTGTACATTTAAATACAAAGCTCTAGAGTCTTATTTGTAGTAATTCCATTTTAAAAATGTCTGTTCTCCCCTCTGGATCACTGACAATGAGACATCCTGGCACAGCCGCCTTTGTATTGTGCCAGGGCATTGCAAGGCAGTGAGCATTCACCCAAGCCAGTCATCTGATCCACTGCTAGTGTGTTAGCACTCAGATAAACACTGACGTGGGAAGCTCTTGACTGTTTTGAGGGTTTTTGCAAACGATGTTCGCTCCCCAGTGGTTTTGTGAACTTCTACCGTCCTCCCATTATGTTATGCTTCTTAAAGGACTAGATCTGTGTTTAGCTGACACTGAATCTCTCTGCTACTCTTGCTTTGTAGGAGGTGTGGAGGAGCAGTTTCCTGTACCATGGTAACCGTTGCTCCTGTTTCCATTGGCCGGGTGCATCTCTGATGCTGCTGGCAGTGCTGCTGCTGTTGTGCTGCTATGGGAGCCAGCCACACGGGAGGTGAGCAAAGCATCCTTTGCTATTTGAGGGGGAGTGGGGGTAGTTTTATACTGTATCTGTAGTGCATATGGCTGTCTTAGCATTGTGGTCGCTAATTCTTTTTAATCACTGGGCTCATTCATGCCCAGATCGTGTCCCCATCAGCTCCTTCCCCCAGTCTCTGACAAACACTCGTTTTGGGAGCTCATCCGCTTCTCAACAATCCCATAATGGATCTGATGGAGGGAATGAGGTTGCCTCCCTTCGGGAACTGTACAAGCTCCTTTTTGTAGAGTGGTACCAGACCCCCTGATGTCCTGGGATGTGGGAATAGAGAGGGATAATCCTGAAACTGAACTGGGGGTTGGGGTGCCTCATGGAAGAGTGCAGAGAGCTGCCACTTGGACCTCATCAGTCCCTGGCTGTATTTTATAAGGGTATCTCTGGATCAAAGCAGATCTTGTCGAACTTCTCCAGTGGAATTGTTCTAAAGACAAAGCATGAGCTTAATGCCTTTGCTTTTCTTTATGAATAATGTTAATACTTGAGTCAGTGGGATGAAAGAATAAAGGGGCAGGTAGGTGAGCATCTATATCTGTGCGCGGGGGAGCATATTCTGCTCCTTTACTCACATGCCTCTTCTGCTTCTTGGTTATTTCCTGTTGCCTTACAAAGCCAAGGTGCTGAGATTGTGAATGCCCTGGCACTCCTCCTCCTCCTCCTCCTGAACCTCTTCTTGATTGGACGACAAGAGAGGCTGAAGCGCAGAGAGGTTGAAAGGAGGCTCCGGACCATCATCGACAAGATAAACGGTGAGGTCTCTATGTGCCCTCTCCGATTTGGGTTGTCATGCACGCACTCACAGCTTCCCCCTCTGTTGGATTTCTCTCCAAACCTCAGTGTCTCCATTACTTGTATTTAGATTACCTGTCTTGCTCCATCTCCTACAGAGGCAGGCTGTTGAGAGCCATGCTTTCTGCACCACCCTCTTTAGATGTGATGTGCTGAGCTGCGATAATTCAAATGCTTTGTACCTTAACCTGGTAAGGCAAATGACCATTATGTCTGTGTGCTGGAGTAAGTCGGACTCTGAGCATCTCATAAAAATATCTGCCTTCCAGCAAGCAATAAGAGAGGAGAACGTAGGGACAGCAGCACCCTTTCAGCAAGAGACGTGTGTGTGGGAACAGCTGTGAGTGAGCACCCTCCCAGTTTGGACAGCAAGCCTGGGGGGAGCCTATGCCTGGCAGAAGGTGGAGTAATTATTTTCAGCCTGGGGCCCTTTGGGACATTCTCTTGGCCTTTGTCTTGCATAGGTTCATCTCAGCATTACCTGGCGTTTGGTGTATGTTGCAAATTGGCTATTGGTAGCTGTCTGTACAGGATGGGGAAATATGAGGGACCTTCCCTCCCCCATGGGGGAATAAAGGAAATGGCAGGAGATCATAAGGACTGTGTGGGATTAGCATTGGAGGGATCATTCTGTGGAAGGTAAATACCTACGGGCTCACCAGCCCTTCTCCAGCGGGGCTCTTCCTCATTCTTTCCTGTTCTCTGTGCTTTCAGATACCCTGGAAGATGGCAAAGAGCCGAAGTGGCCAGACTCCATGTACCCTGACCTTCACATGCCTTTTGCCCCATCCTGGTCCCTCCACTGGGCCTACAGGGATGGTCATCTCGTAAACCTACCCGTCAGCCTGTTAGTAGAGGGAGACGTTATCGCTCTGAGACCGGGGCAGGAGTCTTTTGCTTCTCTGAGAGGGATTAAGGTAACTCACTTGTTTTCTTTCTGTGCCATGATGAAAGATTGTTTCCCAGGATGATCTTATTGGTGACTAATTCCCAGAGAACACAGTATTCTCATTCTGTGTTTGATCTCTTCCTACCTTCGGAACACTCAAGAGCTTCACCTTGCACTTCATTTGTGCAGCTAAAAGTGCTTTATATAAACAGCTCTCCCGCCAACCCCCAAACCCCAACAACTTAGTCACACAAATGATGCCAAAGCATAATGTTACTTATCTCCCACAGGACAGAAAAGGAGTGTATTTTGCTTCTGATCATAACTGTATTAAACCATCTGACTAGATAATTCAGTAGGACACCTTCCCATTTTGAAACCGTAGGTGTTGCTTTTGTGCCAGAAGATGGTTTTTAGGCAGAAAGTCACTGTCACTAAAGATCTTAAATGAACCCGTGTGCAAAATACTCCTCTCTGCTCCTTGCTGTGAATTCATTGCACTCACTTTGCAGACAGAACTCGCAACATGAACACAGTATTTCCGTATGGAACTCTAGTGTAGAATATGCCTTTCTGAGAAAAGAAGGGGACTGTACCCTGCATTTCATATGGAGAAATAAAGGCTTATCTGCTCTCACCTTCTCCTTTCTGCTCTCTGATAATGTAAGGTTGTTGTATAGGATACATGGGGGGGAAAGTGGATGAACTGCCTAAGAGGGCTGGAACTACAAGCTAAGGAAGAAATTGACTGAGAAAGAGCAGGAGAAAATGTTTAGGTTCTCACTGCAGGACAGCAAGTGGTCTCTGATCTAGACTTATCTGTTAGAAAATCATGCTTGATCAACGGTCCCTTCTGACCTTGAAGTCTGTGAGTCTATGCATATCTCCATCAGATTGCAGAATAACTTCAGGGAATCTTGGAAGATGGGGAGGGGCCAGTACTGGTGGGAATGTTACCTGGACAACATCTTAGCTCATGTGTGGTATAATTATCCACTGATCAGCTCTTATTTGGGAACAAACTATGAACAGCCTGCTGTTTCAGAAAACCCTTCCTTCATGGTGTTTGGATACTGAAGCTTGCCCTTTACAATGCAGCAAAACAAGCAGCAGGGCCTGGCTTTCCTCCTGGCTCTGAAAGCAGCTCTCATAGAATGGAAACTTGTGGGATGATTTGTTTAGCGAATGTACAGAGTTGGTGGTACAAACAGGAGCACTTGACAGAACAAAGAGAGCACTTAGATTAGAAAAATTTAAAGATGCTGGGGCAAAGAGATGAAGATAATAGTAATACTTTATGCTCTTCAGAAGCTCTTAGCCAAGGAGCTCACGTTGTTTTACAGATGTTAAAAGTTAAGCCTTACAAATTCCTGTGAGGCAGATAAAAGAATTACATGGATCATTTCTCTGCTTGTAATGCAACTACTTCTGGGCTGGAATGCAGCAGCTGTTCACAACACAGCAACACCAGTTTCAGACAAGAAATGAAAAAGAGTGCCACATTCACAAGCCACACAGATAATTATTATAGTTAATTTAGAGAAGTGGAAAGAAATTACCAAAACTACAATTTGGCCAGGGCATCAGAAATAACATGCCTCTCTTACAAAAGCATGTAGGGATCTTTAATAGGTGCAAGTGGGCAGGATTTCATATTTTGTACTAGAGATGGGGGTGGGAGGAAATGTGTTATGCAAGAAAGACATGGGAAAATTCAGCTTTTAAAGTTACTTTTGATGCTCTTCGTTGTCTAAGGTCACGTCTACACTGTGGGTGCTACAATTGCACAGCTGTGGCACCTTAGTTATGTCACTAGCACCATAGTGTAGATGCTTTCCTGTGAAATGTGCATACATGCTACAGTTATGCTGGGGAGTAAGTGTTGCATTATGCAATAGGTGTTGCATTCTACTTTACATTCAGTTCAGCAACTTTGCAAATGAATTTTAAAGCATTGATAGTTTAAGCGGTGTAGGAAACATGTGTCCTGTGTTGAACAGATTTCTGTGGTACTAAAACACCAATGCCTTTCAGGAGATTTCCATTGAGTTGTCTGATTGTGCAGCCTTTGGATCGTCTGCCTGTCTTTTCTTCTTTAATTTGATAACAGGATGATGAACACATTGTTCTGGAGCCAGGAGACTTGTTCCCCCCTTTCTCTCCTCCACCTTCCCCGAGGGGTGAAGTGAAGAAGGGACCTCAGAATCCTCAGCTGTATCGTCTCTTTCGTGTCCTAAAGACCCCAGTGATTGACAATGTCAGGTGTGCTAAATACTGCTTTTCATGCTTGTACAGGCTGGCTTGGTTCTTGTTGCAGCCTTATATCAGAAGGGGTGGAGTTTTGCCAGTCCGGTACAGGGGGCTTCAGATAGATGATATTACCTCTTATCCATTATCTGGGAATACTAGAGTTATAAGACTCTCACTGGACTCCTTCACTGGTTCTCAGCAGCTGCTAGGTCAGATGGATGCAGAAAGCCATATTCTCCAAACTGCTGGTTTAGCACCTCACCTGCAAACTGATTTGTGGTGGTGGCGGCAAGGAGATCAGAGAATTTCTGTTTTTGATAGCAAGCCCTTCACTTGGCCCCATTTTTATAGGGATCTGAGTTTCCTTTTTATTTTATTTTTTAAGTATGTGTTTGCAACTCAGAGACCAAGGACAGGGCTAGCTGTCAACTCTCTAACCAGAGGCATCATCTCTGAATTATGGGCACAGAGGTTTGGATCTGCAGAGAATACTAACTTGCAGGGATAGTTGTTCTCCGTTTTAGGGTGGTGTAATTTTAAGTAAAATGCTAATTCTTGGATGAGCAAAGAAAGGAAGAGTGAGAGGGCTGCAGATAGCATGAGGCAGGTGTTTCATTGTTACTTGATCTGGTTCAGCAGGGGGGCAAAGCCCATTTTTAGAAACTGAGTGGGAAATATTCTCTTTCATATGACTATTGATCTTTTCGCTATGAGTGGGTGGGATTTTCTGCAAGTGCCATTTCTCCTTGAGATTTAATCATTAACATCAGTGACCCTTCTGGTCAGCTAGAGATGTAGGTATCTGAATGTTCTCTGACCAGACATGCAAATTGGGGTTTGAGAGCTGCGGTCAACCAGCTGAGGAGTCAAGGGGAGTTCATTATATTTACTCCAGTGTCAAGTGCAAAGCTAATAGTATGGAATGCCTGGCTTTGGGTCTCTGAAACAGTGATCAGTTTCCCATCATGAAGCTATTCTGATCAAGATAAACTAAAAAGATTAGTGGAGGAAGATGCAATGTTAGGGCCTTGGGACTGTTGGTTGTTGTAGCATGGGCTGGGGCTCCTAACTGGTCTTGATGTTTCAGGTGGTGTCTGGACATGGCTTTGTCACGTCCCGTGACAGCTCTGGATAACGAGAGGTTCACAGTGCAGTCAGTGATGCTGAAGTATGCCGTCCCTATTGTATTGGTAGGTCTGACTTTCAAGCCACTGCTGTTGATGACCAATCTTGTTCCAAAGTTGCCAGGCCAGGACCATCCCCGTAGAAGTTAAGAACCTGTGGGCTTTCATGGGAAGTTCCAGCTAGTCACTAACCCTATATTCAGTTTGGGTAGCTCAGAGAAGTGCAGAGAAGGTGCTGAACAGTCAGTATGTAGGTGTAGCAATGAGATGGAGGAGGTTGTGGGGGGGAGGTTTGGTAATGCAGTAACAAACCAGCTTTGACCTCCAGGATTTTCCAGGGCTTGCAGTGTTAAGGGGAGTGGAGACTCTCTCATTCCAACTGGTGGCTTGCTGAGGGTATTTCCTCTGTTTAACTAATAGGCTGGCTTCCTGATCACCAATGCTGTGCGCTTCATTTTCTCTGCTCCTGGAATTGCTTCCTGGCGGTACACTCTTCTTCAGCTGCAGGTAAAAGAGTCTCTTGTGCCCACCCCATTCCCTCCTAACCAGCGCGTACACTGCAGCTAATTTCCTTTTAACACAAACCTCCCACGCCTTCTCAGAGTTGCTTCTCTCCCTGTGCATGCTGAGGTCAGGTGAAGCACTCAGTTGAACAGTAAGCAGAACAGCAGCTGTATCCCTAGTGTTCCCATCACGATGGAGTTTAATCTATTTGCCCTGGATTTTTTCTTTTTAATATTAAGGTTTAATGCCAAATCCATTGTGAAAACTGACTGCAAGTGAGGGTGAACTGCTGACTGCCTCTTTTATGACAAATCCCCATGGATTGTGGGTGTCTTTCCCTCAGGGCTCCTCAGTGTGTTGCACTACTTTCGGTCTTTGCAAACTGCATCCTTTGCTCCTGACATTGCCCCGTGTCTGTCCCTGTGCTGTGGTGAAGAGGAAGTCATGTGACTGGCCTCAGTTCTAGCTTCATCGCTGTGCCGACTCTAGTTGGTGACCTATGGTGGTTTTTCAGGTGAATGGCGTGCTGCCCATCCTTCCACTGCTCTTTCCTGTCCTGTGGGTTCTTGCTACAGCTTGTGGAGAAGCCAAGGTCCTGGCCCAGATGAGCATGGCCTCGTCCACCTCGCTGGTAGGTATTTCCCATGTCAGGTCATTGTGTGCGGAGGGAGGGGCAGAGAAGGTGATGGTCTCTGTGAGAGGAACGCAGGGGGCAGTCTGTTAATCAGGTGAATCCACAGAATCTTAAAAATTACAGTTGGGTGACCTCTGTTGGATCATGTCTAGCCCATCTCCCTGGGGAGCAACAGCATTGTTCCCAACAGTATGTTCCCAGTTCTCTCTCCAGCCCAGTTTCAGGTGGCCTATGCTCTTCTCTTGGAGTTTATTCCACAGTCAAATAGATCCATTTAAGACAGGTTCTGTGGGCCAACTGATGGACAATTGTACCCTATAGTGGGAGTCTAAACTGAGACAAATGAGATGCAATAGCCAGAACAAAGGAACCTTTAGTGAATGTGAGTGGCTGGGTGTTATGATGTCCTCTTTTAACTGCTGTTATTCCCCATGGGGTCTGGGAGCTGCCACTTGAACTGCTGGGGGTTGGATTACAGGGATGCTCCCTGCAGTGGAATAGGGACTAAGGAGGTGAGGATTATTTCCCATAAGGGAAGATAAGGGTTAGCATTTTTTCTTGGAGAGGCTGGTGGGGTTCTGATCCTGAGTTTTCTGAGATATAAGATGATCATTCAATGGATTTTGGAAACCTTCCCACCCACCTGCTCCCGATGTGGTTTTAGCCAGGTGCACTATGGTGTGCTTATCTGCTTCTCAAACATCTGTTATGAAGTTTCTGCCTTTGGCACAATTGCTCAGACTACCTCCCTGTCCTCTCTGGGACTCAGTGTCTCCATACTCTCCTGGTGCCTAGTCTTCTCCCTACAGGATATGTAGAACTTACACTGAAGTCAGTGGAAGTCACCTGTATCCTGGTGCTGGCGTAGAATGAGGCAGATACTGCATCCGTTGCATCCAAATGCTCCCTCACCATCTCCTTTTAGTGGTTTCCCCTCTGCGTGTTCACTGTCAGGATCACTCAGCTTCTGTCCTTGGTTCTTTGGCACAGTGAAATAGGAGCTCCTTGTCTTCCCTTCTTCATTGCTGTTGACACCTCCATCCTACCAGCCCAGCTCACGCCTGGGGTGTGTCCTTTTCTGTCTCCTGTCTCTTCTTCCCAGTTCACCAAATCCTGCCAGTTCTTTCTCCATGACATCTCAAATATGATCCTTCCTCCATGTCCCTACAGTCAAAGCTTGTTCAGGTCTTCGTCACTCTGGTCTTGACTAGGGCAGCCTCTTCTTTGGCCTCGCCATTCCTACCTTTCTTCCCTCTACTCCATTCAGAATAAAGCAGTTAAGACCCTCTTCCTCTCTGTCAGCTGGACCATGTAACTCTGTTTTCTTTCCCCTTCCCATCAAGTTCAAGCTAATAGATGTTAAGGCCAAAAGGGACCAGTGTGGTCATCTTCTAATATGACCTCCTGCATAAGACAGGACATAGGATTTTCCTTTATTAATTCTGGCTTCAAGTCACATAGATGTGGTTGAAGTAGAACATACAGGTGGATGTTTTTCTAAAAGGTAATTTTAAAAAATGCTGGTGGAGAATCCACCAGAAATTTTGGCATGTTGTTCCAAAAGTTATTTACCCTCAGTGTCGTTTTGTTTTGTTTTTTTTAAAAAGGTGTCTTATTTCTAAATACAGTTCCTTGAGTCTTTAACTATAAGGGCTGTTTTCTTGGTTCTTCTCTAAACCCTCTCCAACTTTTAACATCCTTCTTGAATTGTTGACACCAGATTTGGAGACAATATTCCAGCAGCGGTTGCACCAGAACCAAATACAGGGTAATATAACCTCCCTGCTCCTACTCCATATTCCCTGTTTATTCATTCAAGGATTGCATTGGCCCTTTTGGCTACAGTGTCACACTGGGAGCTCATGTTCAGCTGGTTGTCCAGCATGACGTCCAAGTCTTTTTCAGAGTCACTGCTTCTCAGGCTAGAGTCCCCCAGCCTGTAAATATGTGTTCTTTGTTCCTAGATGTATGACTTTACATTTGGTCATATAGGGATGCATATTGTTTGCTTGTGCCCAGTTTACCAAGTGATCCAGAGTGCTCTGTATCAGTGATCTGTCCTCTTCATTATTTAGCACTCCCCAATCTTTGTGTCATTGACCAACTTTATCACTAATTACTTCATTTACTTCCAGGTCATTGATAAAAATATTAAATAGCATAGGGCCAAAAACCAATCCCTGTGGGACCCCACTGGAAATACCCACTCAATGATAATTCCCTGGTTACAGTTACATTTTGAGACCTTTCAGTTAGACAGTTTTTAATCCATTTAATGTGTGCCTGTATTGGTTCTAGTTCCTTAATAAAAATGTTGTGCTGTACCAAGTCAGATGCCTTACAGAAATCTAAATATATTAAATCAATATGATTATATTTAGCAACCAAACTTGTAATCTCATCAAAAAATTATATCAAGTTAGACAGGGTCTGTTTTCCATAAACCCTTGTTGATAGCATTAATTGTATTACCCTCATAATTCTTTATTATTCCAGTCCTATAACACCCTGTCACAGAATGGCCCGCCTGGAGTAGCCTCCTGCGGCATGACAGGCACACCTGCCTCAATTTCCCTTTTCAGAGTCTCCAGTAAATCCACTTCAGGCTCTTTTGCTTAAATAATGCCCCTCCTTGGAGCCAGTTTATTACCAAAACACAGTTAATTGCTTCCCAAGAAAAATCCCAAACAGTCCATTTCCAACATCCATTGTATATAGTCCTTAAAACCCCACTCTTCCCAGTGGGAACTCCCACAGCCTCTCTGCTGGGAGATCATCGTTATCAGGGGAACATCCCTCTCTCCCTCTGGCCCTCTCATGGTTCCTCTGAGTCCAGCCCTGGAGATGTCCTCAAGTAAGCTCCTCTTCTGCTTTCCTGCCTGCAGCACTTGGCTCTGTCTCTCTGATAGACATCAAGCAACTCCTGCTGCTGCTTTCCTGCCTTCAGCCTTCTCTCAGGAACCACAGTTAGTTTTTTGGCTCTGGCAGCTCTCACCTCCTGCCCTTTTTCTTTGCTCCACTGGTCTGTGCTCTCAGATTCCCCTGACTCGCCATATCTCTCTCCCCTGGTCCTTTATAGCCCCCAGGTGCTGCCGCCGCCCTCTTAATTGGCAAAATGAGAGCACCTGCTCTGGCAGAGGCGTGCTGGACCTACTTCATTTACCCTGTGACACAGCCTTTCCATTATTTTACTCAAGATTGAAGTCAGGCTGAGAGGCCTATTATTACTTGGGTCATCCCCATTTACCGTTTTTAAATACACCTCTACCCTGATATAATGCTGTCCTTGGGAGCCAAAAAATCTTACTGCGTTGTAGGTGAAACCGCGTTATACCGAACTTGCTTTGATCTGTCGGAGTGCGCAGCCCCGCTCCTCCGGAGCACTGCTTTACCGTGTTATATCCGAATTCGTGTTATATCGGGTCTTGTTATATCGGAGCAGAGGTGTATTGGCACAACATTAGCCTTCTAGTTCTGGAATTTCCCCTGTGTTCCAAGACTTAGTGAAAATCAACATTAGTGGTCCAGAGAGTTCCTTGGCCAGCTCTTTTAAAATTCTTGGCTGCAAGTTATCTGGAACTGCTGATTAAAAGATGTCAGGCTTTGATAGCTGCTGTTTAACATCCTCTTTAGTTAATGTTGGAATGGAAAGCATTTCATCATTATCACATGATATGAATACATCATCTGTCTTGTTCCCAAATACAGAACAGAAATATTTATTGAACACATCTTCTTTATCTTCATTATTGTTGACAATTCTACTATTCCCATTGTCATGGTTCCTTTTGCTCTTGATATGCTTAACTCAAAAAAACCCCAAACCCTTTTCCTTGTTGTCTGTAACTCTGTTGGCTATAGATTTCTTCATGTGTCCTTTCATTTCCTTATCAATGTTTTCTACATTTTCTAGCTTCTAAGTTTTATTCATTGCTGTCAGTTTCCTCTTTTTTCCATCTGTTATGTATTGTTTTTATTTTTTATTGTTGCTTTCACTTCTCTTCTAAGCTAGGCCGGTTTTCTAACCAGTGTACCTTTGTTTCTTGATTGTGGCCTTTTGGGTATTTATTAAAATGTTCTTAAACACTTCCCAATGATCACTCACATTTCTCTATGTAAATTTTCTCCCAGCTGTTTGGCTCATGGGGGTTGTTTAAGTTTGTGAAATTGGCCCAAGTGCAAGTATTACTGATGGGGACTTTATTCTATTTACACTTGCAATCGCTATTTTTTTTAGTTTTGTGAGTTGTTCCTCTTTCTGTCAAGATGAGAATCCTGCTCATTGGATGCAAGACATTGAGTTGTGAAATCGTCATCTATAATTTTCCCTCCCCTTTCAAGCTCTGCATGATTCCACCCCGCCTACATCCCTGATTTCATTCCTATCCTATAGCCCCTTTCATTCTGCCTCCTTCCTCTGTGTCCCTGATGTTACAGCTGTCCACCTTTGAAATCCCTTCTTAAAGATCCCTGCTTTCACCCAGTCCAGATCAGTTCAAATGCTGCCTCCTTCTGCCTCAAAATATCAGCCTAAGAGCGAGCTGCCTCCTGGTGCATCTAACTGGTCTAATCTGTCTCTTTAGTCTGTAAGCTTTTCAGGGCAAGGACCATGTCTTCATCCATGTCCTGTACAGCACCAAGCATGGTGCTTATGCTTAACAGATAAATAATAACATGGACTACTGGAGGACAGGTTACTGGATTTGATGGAGCATTGGTCTCTTCTGGTATGGCAGTAGAGAGTAGGGCCCCTCCCTTCATCTCCCAGAAGGAACACTATCAGAGAGGTTCTCTGGTTCTCCACTTGTAAGGTAACTCCCTTCTCTTCATGTGCCAATATATATTTATGCCTGTATCTGTAATTTTCACTCCATGCATCTGAAGAAGTGGGTTTTTTACCCACGAACGCTTATGCCCAAATAAATCTGTTAGTCTTTAAGGTGCCACTGTACTCCTCGTTGTTTTTATTCAGAGAGGGATGCGTCTCATGTACCATTTCTGAGCACACTGATAGTAACTGGTCTCTTCTCTTGCTACAGCTGGCTAAGTTTTCAGAGGACACACTCAGCAGCTACACAGAGATGGTATCTTCTCAGGTACTGTTGTTACTATTTTTTACAAGGCTTCCATTCTCTTTCTACTTCACTGCGAGCTCGATAAGATCCTTCCCTTTCTCCCTCTGTGTTCTCCTGCTAGTCCCTAAACCTTCACTGCTGGTGACAGAGGCCTGCTGGCATTCTTTATTTGCTGCTTTATTTTGCTCTGCTTGCAGGTTCGATGTCTTTCCCACACACCTTCTCATGTAGAAATTGCTCTACTGGCCAGGGTTGAGCTAAATGTGACAGGTGGTCCAGCTTGTACCCTTCAGGTTGCCATGAATTAGAATTTTGGTGAGGTTTTGAAACTAAGCTTTCCTGTCTTCTGTTTCAAGTCCTGGTCGCTGTTACTCCACAGGTGGAATAACTGGTCAAGAAATACGTGTACATAGCAGGAGGCTGGGGCAGAATTTAGCTTATCTTAAAAAACAAACAACCTTCATCCAATCAAAACTAGTGAACAGGGAGATGGGAAGTAGCAGCAAGACTGGAGCCCTGGCAGAGGCGAAATATGGAGAGAGGAGAGTGGGTCATTTGGGATGAAAGCCTGATCCTGCTTCACCAGATTCTTAATAAGCTTGTGTACATTAATAACGCTTCCCATATCAGAGCAAGCAAACTTTCAAAGGAACTGTCTGGATCCAGCCCCTCTGCAAATTATATCACCCAGACCAAACAGGAGGATACTGTCTTGCCTAATCTGGTGTTAGGATTTCCATTTTCCTGGGGAAGCAGAGGGATTCCCAAGGCTAATTAGAAAATCCCAGATGTCACCAAGCTCAGTCTCTCCCCTTGCCATTGCTAGCTCCCACTCATATCGCTTTCGCTGAACGTTTTCTTACCTTCCTAGGCCAGTTCATCCTTCAGCTGAGCTGTGCATTTCAGTGCTTGAGCAGTTAAAAAGTAGTGACTTGAGATCATCTCCCTGGCTGCATGGATCTGCTCCCTTTTTCTGCTTCTGTGCGAAGACCTTGGCTGTAAGAAAGTGTCTGGATTAAACATGGCCTTTTCTTTTTGTTTTAAATTAAATATTGTTCTGCATTTCTGACTACAGCTATGGTGAGATTTAATCTGTCTAGGTTTGTACATGGCCCCTATCAACATAGTGTCTGAGCACTGGAGGAGTTCAAGCACGGGAGAAGTGATGCAAAGTAGTAGCAATCCAGAAATGGATATAAAGCTTTCAGCTCAACATCAAAATGCAGACCCAGTTCAGCTGGGAACAAAAAACACACAGCTCTGAGGCTGGGACTAGATCCCAGATTTACAGAGCTGAGCCCATATGTGTTAGCCTTCTGTCATCCAGCCTCTGTTTGGGATAGTGCTCCTGTGGGAGACTAAGGTTGTCTGTGACAGCAGCACGTTTAGTTTGTAATATTTTCCCTCATTCAAACCTTCCTTCAGTTGTTCATAGATTTGATTTTTAGTTAAATTGGATGAGGAGGTAATGGTTCTAGCAGGAGATAGAACCCAGACTCCTGACTCCCTGGGCTACCTTGGGTAAGTCATTGCACCTCAGTTGTCCCATCTGGAAATGGGTTTAATAGGCATGTGGTGGGGCACCGAAATCCTTTCATTCAAGGATCTGAGCATATTGTTTAGGAAAAGGTGCTGCCTCTTGGAATCTAAGTTAACTGAGGTGAAACCTCTTCAGAAGTCTCACCTGTGTTTTCTGGAAAGACTATGATGGCCCCACCAGAGTCCCTGTTCAAAGAACATACTTGCTGTTTGCATTCAGGCGGGGGAGTGCCCTTGCCCTCGAAAACTTCAGCCTACTCACACTTAAAGTCCTGTCCCCCGGCAATGGATTGTTTCACAGGGTCTCTTTGACTCAAACCTATAAGCATGTTTGTTAACTTCACACACCCCTCCTCCCCCTTCCTCACCTAGGCTCTCCCCAGCGAATTGTCACCTGTGGTCTGCTTCTCTGACAGGAAATGATACGTTGTATCTGGAGCCACTTTCTGTGTGTTTTAAAAGGCAAGTCTCCAACACTCAGCTTCACCTCCAGCTTACTTCACAGCCTGGGATCCGTCACTGTGAGTATCACTAGGTTATCACAAGGAAGACACCTAAACGGGACACCTTGCTCTCTTCAATCACTGTGAAAATCCCCTAAGAAACAGTGCTGTAGGTGCTCCATTCACAGCGTTCTGAGTAAAGGTCTTGTGGGGGTTCTAGTCTTCTGGGTTTGCAGGGGCTTTATAACCTCTATTGTAAAGTGCTTTGATGTCTAATGATGAAAAGCGCTATATAAGAGCTATACATCTATATAATAAGATTCCAGGATTTTCAATCGGAAGCCTAGAATGTCTGCAGTCAGTGTGAAGCAATGGAAACTGCTGTGTGTATGGCTAAGAGCTCTTTTTGTTTAGAATATCGCCATGTTCTATTATCGCTGGGATTCGACATCTCTTCCCATCCAGTTTTTATGCTCTCATCCGTTTTCCGCTTTTTTACACTTTATGAATTACACCTGTATGACAGCACGGGCGTTAGCCTGATTATAACTGTCTTTGAACCAAATGGGCACCTATCCTCCCAGGAGCACACTTCTAGTAAAGACAGTGGTTTAGAGGACATTCAGTGTGGTCTGGTAGCTTAAGCCCCGGCCATACTCTGGTTCTTTTCCTAGCTCTGCCACTGACATTAAAAAAACTCTTGATCTCCCTGGGGCTTGGTGTACAAGTCTGTATTGTACCTATTTTACTTGCCTCCTGCACATGGATTTCATGCTTAGTTTTAATATTTCCTAAAATGAAACCTGCATTAAGTGACTAGTAATCCAGATGGAACCAAGTTGTGCTCAGCACACCTGGGCGTGCTTTCAGAATGCACTCTCAAGACAGGAGGTTGCTTAACAAGGGACTTTTGTCCAACTTTGTATCTGAAAACCCACCCGAGCCTTCTGCTGTTTGTTTCTGTGAATATATATTTTAAACATTAACTCATTGGGTGTTTGTATTTTGGGGGGTGTTGCGGGATGTCTTGGGGTGTTTTAGGTGCTTTGCTGTGTAGACAAGCAGGGGATTCTATCCTGGCCAAATCCCAGTCCAGAGACTGTTCTGTTCTTCAGTGGGAAGGTGGAAGCCCCTCATGATAGCCATGAAGACCTGACGGATGAACTCTCCACGCGCTCCTTCTGCCACCCAGAGATGGATGAGGAGGTGAGGGCTAGGTCATCGACAAAGTGATGCTTTGCTTTCAGCCTGGCGTGGCTGGCAGCCTTAGCAGTACCTGCCAGGCAACTTGATTCAGTTCATGATCTGGCAGGGCTTGCGGTGGTGTAGAAAAGCAGGTGTTGGGTTCCTCGAGCAGAGGGTCGTTGCTTGAATGATTAAGGAATGCTGAGGACCAGCTCCTCCAAAAAGCATCCTGTCCAGTCTTGTTCAGTAGAGGCCAGAGGCTGCCCCACCCCCGCTATCCAAATCCATCCCAGGGTAGAACAGGCCTGGCATCATGCAAATCAGTAGTGGGGATTTCCCATTCCATCCCATAAGTGTCTCATCACTTCACCTCCTTTCTCTCTCTAGCCCCATGAGAGGGATGCTCTGCTCTCTGGTCCCATGATGGATATGGTCCACATTGCCAATGAACAGGAGAGGAACGACTGGTCTAGTGACACTCCAAAATCTTCTGACGTCCATGTCCACAGAAAGCCAAACAATAGAAGCAAGCATCCATCGGGGTCCAATGTGAGCTTCAGCAAAGACACAGAGGGTGGTGAGGAGGAGGCAACCCAGGTAAGGTATGCAAAAGTGGATGCAGTCAGCCTCTCACTGAGCTGTAGGACAAGCTGCATCAAGTGGAGAAAGAACCCTGCCCACCCCCTGATTTGCGTTAGAGGATGGCGGAAACTAGCAGATTTGTATGAGTTAAGTAAGGAAAGGAGCAGCTGAATCTCATTGTACTCTGTGCCTTTTGCTGGCCTTGTGGATGGGAAGATGGCCCTCCAGCCAAAATAACATTATACTCAGGAGTGCTTGGCAGAGACACTCTACACAGCAAGCTACAGCCAGCACCATAATCCTATTAGCTCCCACACCTTTGGATTTCTCCTCTTTCTGTGGGGTAAGAGAGCTGTTCATTTAAAGGGGCCCTCTTCAAAGTCTGAGGATTTAGTTAGTAGTACTGATGGCTGTAGAGGAGAGAACAGGTTGTGAGGAGCCTTCTCTTCAGCATCCCAGTGATTCTAGCTCTCTGCTAGCCTAGCTGCTGGTTTGGGTCAGATCTCTGGCACACATGCCTGTGTGGTACATGAGAACGGCCATACTGAGTCCAGCCATCTAGCCCAGTATCTTCCAATAGTGGCTGGTGCCAGGTGCTTCGGAGGGAATGAACAGAACAGGGCAATTGATCAAGTGATCCATCCCCTGTCATCCAGTCCCAACTTCTAGCAGTCAGAGGCTTAGGGACACCCAGAACATGGGGTTGCATCCCCTGATAGCCGTTGATGGATCTGCCCTCCATGAACTTATCTACTTCGTTTTTTAACCCAGTTATACGTTTGCCTTTGCAACATTCCCTGGCAACAAGTTCCTCAGGCTGACTGTGTGTTGTATGAAGAAGTATTTCCTTATATTTGTGTTAAACCTGCTACCTATTCATTTCATTGGATTGACCCCTGGTTTGTGTGTTATGTGAAGGGGTAAATAACACTTCTTCTCTATTCACTTTCTCTGCATCGTTTATGATTTAGACTAATAGACTAATATCCTTGGTCTGCATCCCAGAGAACCGGTCAAATGATGAAGACGGTTTTTTAAACACATGGTTCAAATTTGATTTGCTACTGCTTTTCATTATTCATGAATATTTGATCACCAAGCAGTCAACAAAATACATAAATACTGAAACTGACAAAGAAGTCTATTAGAAAGGCATTATTCCATAGTCTTCTATGAAAAATGTTAGTTACTCAGTCAGGGACCAGAATCTAAACCATGTAACAGGTGACCAGTTTTGACCTTGAATACCGAATATCAGTAATGGATACTTTACCTATAGCATGCCAAGTGTTCATTTGTGGTAGATGTAGAATAATTCCACATATAGGGCCTATGTGCTATGATCATACAAATAAATAATAATAATGAATACGTTCACAAAACCAGCAGTAGAATGTGAATAATTCATGAAGTCAAAAACAAAGAAACCCAAGGTCAAATTAACCAAGTTTCGTTTTCATTAAATACTAATTGACTGGTAATACTGGCCACTCATATGTACTGATTGTGCTCTGTTATTCTGAATTTACATCACTGTAGCTCCATGGATTTCAGTGACGTTACTCCTGACCTACCCCAGTGTAAGCAAGGGGAGAGTTGGGCATATCATCTTCTAGTGACAGATTATGACCCTAAGGGTATGTCTACACTGCAATAAAAGACTCACCCCGGCCTGTGTCACTTGACTGGTAATGGGCTTGGTGCTTAAGCAGGGCTCACAAAGATGTGCTTTTTGCTGGGGCAGATGTCTGTGTGTCTGTCTAGTGTTGCCTGCTTCAGTTGCTGAATTGTAAGGGGAAGCAATCAGGGAAGAATCTCACTTCATTCCCCTTGCACATCCTTCAGCATGGGCTGCATGTCCTTTTCAGAGAAGAAAAGCGTTCTCTCTACTGAAGGCCCTTTTCCCCCTGGGAAGGGTTGGTTCTTTTAAAGACAGAACTAAAGGAGGTACCTGCTGCTAGTGTCTATGATGAGGATTCTCACATCTATTCTTGTGCATTTATGGGATGTTACACACCACCTTCTTCTCAGGAGACTTCATCCCCATCCCTCAAATTTCTGTCATCTTAAGATCAATCCTACAGTTCTTTCCCTGGTTATCTTCTGAGCTTGTTCATACTCCCACCTATGGCAATGGTAAAACTCCCACAGATTTCAGTGTGGGAAGGATCAGGAACTTACTATTTGTTTTTCTAAATGTGTTACTAGAAAGTAGTTTAATCTCCCTGGAAGAGCCCCCGGGCCCTTTACAGTAGTCACTCCCTCATCGCATACTCATTCATTTTCCTCCCTTAGAATTTGAACCATTTAAAAAACATTCTTGTATCTGAAGAAGTGAGGTTCTTACCCACGAAAGCTTATGCTCCCAGTACTTCTGTTAGTCTCAAAGGTGCCACAGGACCCTCTGTTGCTTTTTAAAAAACATTGTTTTTACTCCTCTGGAGAATCTCAGATTGTGGAACTAGGGAAGCTGCTATTTTTGATAAGTGGAGGAAGCAACGGCCTGTTAATCTTCCCTGTTATATCTGGGATTCTCTCTTCTGCTAAGGGATACTAAACTTGGGATGGGAATTGGAGCCTCTCTAGCAACTACGTTCCATTATAACTAATCAGGATTTTCTTGCATGTCTTATCAGGCTGGCGGTGACACTGAGGGACTGGCCTGTGAGGCTGAAGACTTCGTGTGTGACTACCACCTCAAAATGCTCAGCCTGTCCCAGGACCAGCAGAACCCCTCCTGTATCCAGTTTGACGACTCCAACTGGCAGATGCACCTAACCTCCCTGAAGCCTCTGGGCTTGAATGTGCTGCTCAACCTCTGCAATGCCAGTGTGACAGAGCGCCTATGCCGTTTCTCTGACCACCTCTGCAACATTGCCCTCCAGGAGACCCACAGTGCTGTGCTGCCTGTCCATGTGCCCTGGGGGCTCTGTGAGTTTGCCAGGCTAATAGGTAAGGAAGAACCAAACAAGGAGACAGCTGAGAAATGGGAGCAAGCTTTCATGGTAGTCTTACTGAGCCAGCTGAATCCTGGGAGAGTACCAGAATGGTACCGCTTTGTTAGTTTTTTTTTATAGATTCTAGGACTGGAAGGGACCTCGAGAGGTCATCGAGTCCAGTCCCCTGCCCGCATGGCAGGACCAAATACTGTTTAGACCATCCCTGATAGACATTTATCTAACCTACTCTTAAATATCTCCAGAGATGGAGATTCCACAACCTCCCTAGGCAATTTATTCCAGTGTTTAACCACCCTGACAGTTAGGAACTTTTCC